TTTATTTGCAACATACAATTTTCAGGGCACATTTTTATGTCATTTTGGTCAGCATATCTACGAAAATGGTGTCACACAAAAGGTAAAAGTGTAAATAATATTGTATTGCTTCTGAAATAAACAATGGAAAATTAATTGAATATTAGAAAACAAACTACAGATATTATTTCACAAAATGGCCAAATATTATCAAAATTAACACCTAAACAAAGTCAAGAACATTCATTCAAAAAAGTTCGAAATATGAGGACTATATCATAAAATAAAAATAATGTGAAAGACTTATGTCACGTCACTGTATCTTAAATATCAAATATCACTACTTGCATGAATGATCCCTTCAAAAAGATACATTAAAATAGCTAATAATTAAGAAAAAAAAAGACTGATTTGATATATCCAGAATGATGATGTTCATCGTTGAGACAATGGCTAGAAATAGGAATAATGGAGACAGAAAACCTGTCACCAACCAAACAATCAACCAACCCACCAACTAGTATGGTCAACATGGAGGAACGATATACAATATCATAAAGTAAAATAATTGTAAGAAAATGATTTTTTTTTTTGATAAATCTGACTTTTTTCTGATTAAGAAAACTTAGATAAAATCACAAACACATGACCTAAAACGGCATTCTCACATTTGCCATATTGTACACTGAAACAACCGTCAACTAAACAAACTAACGAAAAATAGTTAGAATGAGGTCACAAATCCAGAATATTGACATAAATACAGGAGACTCTAATGTATTACCACTGAAAGGCTCTAATGGTATCAGAAAATCAATTATTATGATGTGTAGTTAGTCAACTTCAGTGTACTTAATTGACAACCAACAGAGACGTGCATGTCAACAAGGCATAAACTTCGTTATATTCAGTTCAATATTAATTAAGTCCGAAAAACTTTAACCAAGTCCTGATACTGATGTTTCACTAATTGTCTAAACACTGAAATGTCACTGATTTGGATATCTTCATATTACCGCGCAATCAGAATTTTCCATAATTTGCTGAAGCAATTATGAACACTTGTATTCAAAAACGTGTCTATCACGTCGGTACAATAATAGAGTCATTACAACAGAAATCGAGGATAAAAATTGGCAACATCCGAAATATGGATAATGAAATAATTATGATTAGATTTACATAGTCAATCAGATTTGGCAACATCCGAATCATTTATTATCTGACTTCAGCAGTGACTCGATATCCGGCACTTTCTCCACGATTTTCATGCTCGATCAATGGTGTACCATGTGATTTCCAATACGCGTTGGTCTCTGTAATTAACTTTCCTTTTCCGAGGTCTTTAAATCCAAAGAAAACTTTACAGATTGAATTCTCGTGTTGGTTAAGGTTTTCAGAATCGGACATTTATGGTTTCTGATAGAAAATAAATGACATTTTTCACCCTATTGAACTCAATGATTGGGTTGTTTAACAAAGCCAAAGGAAACACCGACCAATTGAAAAGTAAACTAGGACCAGTCAATAATTTGTATCTGGTCCATCACATTCAATGCTTTCTAGAAATTATGGTTTTAAAAAAAGACCCAAATTGTTGCAAATTGAAAAAAAAAATAACAAAAAGTTAAAGAAAATAAAAAAAAACTTGAGTATAACCTGGATAATGATATTGTAACTATTATAGTTAATATTCCCTTTACCATAATCAAGAAAGCTTGTTAATGACACGTTCAAAGAAAAATCATGTTGCAATTCATTTAAGTTACAGAGGTATTTGAACATGGTTATGAGTTTTAACGACTGAAGATTTCCAATTTCGTGCACTTTCTTGACTTTGCTGCTTGTCCCAAACAGGCAAAATGTGAAAGGACTTTACCGTGACCTTTCTGTGTATGTTACATCACCATCTAAAGGATCTGAACCCCAGACCTCAGAACTATACATGTATGAAACAAGTGTTACAGAATACTAAATATATATTACTGAAAGGTTCTAGGTTATATTATGATTGTTAGGTATAAGTAGATACATGTAGATATATATATATATATAGGTTCAAAATACTGTTAGAAGGTATATTTTCACCATACATGAATTCACCTCATGACCATCTCAACCTCTGGGGATTATATAAAAGGGTTATATGTAAAACAAATTCCTGCCTCCATTTTGGATTTGCTCGCCCTGTTCTTGTATGAAAACGGTGAAAGTAAGACTGGGGTGTAAAATTTCCCAGTATACTGTATACAGAAATAACTGTTTACTCTTTGGTGTATTTTGTGGCGATGTGTTGTGATAGTAAAAATCAAGAAACAATATGAATTGCCATTTCATATGACAACAATGTTGGAAAAGGTCCTTGTCCAAAGAAACAGCATATACATGTTTGTTTTGTGTTGGTGACCATTTCACTTGGTGTTCCATATTTAGGCTGAACCCTTCATAATCACATGTACTATTTTCCTCATTAAAATCTCAAGGGAGATAACTCTATCATAATTATTAAAGAAAGCATTTTTCACTGTTGATATATAAGATGGACTGTCAAAACTATTAGAGACTACCTGACACATATGTTTACAGTTGAGCACATCTGTTTTTAATATCATGATTATAATACATCACCATAAACACAAACAGACTCTTGACAGAATAATACGCTCAACATATCATCGGAAAAACTCTCATTATTTATAGCACAAAAGCTGTGTCAAAATGTTGACATAATTCTAAATTACAATTGTTGTTCCATTTGGTTTGCCATCAATCAAAAATGTGAACAATCTTATATTTTGAAATTTAGAAATGCGATTACCCTTATAAATTAAGGTCTACTGTTGACAAGCAGTGGAACTAAAAGTACAAATAGTTGTGATGGTGTAATCACAATTAATACAAATATCTATTTAGGTTATGGTTGTATTTGTCAGAAATCCAGGTCATTTTGCCAAAAACCTTTTAAATTTTCATATTTTACAAGTAACTATCAAGGTGAGACATAATAAGATTGGCCTGCCAGAGAAATTTACAGACAACGAATCTTAAAAAATATCAACAGATTTTTATGATTGACCTGTAAGAGAAAATTCAAAATATCTTAGATGAATTACCTAAATTCTACAGAGGTTATAGGGGAAAAACATATTTACCATTATGGAGAAACAAAATCTGACTTGTTTGACACAATCGTTTAACTTCATGACCTTGACTTTCAGTATCTGACCTTTGACCTGATGCCCTTGACGTTTTGCAATTGGTAAAATCATTTCTAATGTGATCTTTTATTGTTCTGTGTCATTTTCCAACTGGGTTACCATTATACCATACAAAAACCTAATTCTCCTTCACAGACACACAAACAAACATCCTCCAAGGACTGCACATATCTGTCTGCTAATCACCCTATGATTTCCATACCAAGCATTACCGTTCTACTATAGTGTGAGTTAGGCAACTACCTCCATGTGACAACATTTAGATAAAATATGACATCATTATCTTACATGGTAACGAGATAAAAAGAGGATTCATTACCAGAACATACAAATCAATAATTTTCTACTGTTTTCTTATCTTTTAGACAAAATCATTTTCACAAAAAATTAATTATCCTTTCTAAGACATTATGCATTTTTGTATGGATTATGTTTAATATGGGATCTTAATTCCCAATAAGTCCTTTTTTAACTGATGAAATGCATTGAACATTTTAATTGGAACATTTCTGTAAATCTTAAAAAGAGGCCAAAGGGGCCTGCATTGCTCAACTGGCTAATTCAGCTATTCAGTCATTTAACAAAGAATTTCAAATATGACAAATAAATAACAAAATAAATTCCCAGTTGTGTCCTGACCATGGGGACAAATAGAAGTCAGATTCACTATTCATCAGAACTGGTTCAGGCCAAACTAAGATATTATTGTATGAAAGAAGGATTTTTATGAACTTACTGTATTTTCAGGGATTATAAGCCACACCTTTTTTCCTTGATAGTTGGGCATTCTGCTTATATACAAGGGATTTTATGAAAAGGGGGGAAAAATTGACAGGGAAAAAAGGAAAGAAAGTAGGAAATGAACAAGTATACCATTTCACCAGTACAAGACCGTACTGAGTTTTTTCATGAGTGTTTGTGACTGAACAGATCGTCTTAAACCATCATTTGCAATTGTACATTTAATTAATCATACCTTTTAATATGAATCACAATAATGTCTTCTGGACTTTCATGGTTACTTTGAAGTCATTGCAGAAGTTTACAAGAGCTTTTACATATGGGATCAATAAGTCATCAAATTATAGGTCAAATTCTAAAACGTCTGCCATACTTGTTTATGAAATAAAGGGCTTCAATGTAACTTACAAGAAGAAATAATATGGGACTATAAGAATTTGGTCACATTGCAAGGACATTTGTTAATATTTAGCAGTACAGACACCAATGGAGAGATTATTAAGTAATCTGTACATAACATCTGGCCCTATATCTGTGTGTAGACAATCTGTGAAGGCAACCTAGCAAAATGAGTTTGATATTTGCTATTTTATGTTTATTTGAAATACATCTGTTATATAAAGTATTATCTGTGTACAATTCATTTGCAAACTGTATTAAATGTTTCACTGAGGATCTTGATAATTTGCCCTTTGTTGTCTGTTATATCAACGAACTTTGGTCAACGTAATGGTTACCACTTCATAAGAACTGCCTTCCTACAACAGGAGTAGAATTTTTAAAAAACTTGTAAAATTTCCCCCTTTGGGACTTCTCTTTCCCCATGGATGCTTCTGACCAAACTTCGTCAATATCTGTAGAGTCTTTCATAACTAATAGCAATTTTTAGTAAATAGTTAACAGGCACCGCATACTGAACAACAGACACTGGTGCTTGACGCTGGACCTGGTGAGCTAAAAATTAAAAAATCCATCAGCATCCTCCTTTTAAAAGAAAACAGAAATTGGTATTAGTAATCATTATAAAAACATAAAAAGGACACAACTCTGTATACCACTCACCTATACAAGTTTTGCCGTCAGCATGAAGTCTGTGATTTTTGGGGCATGTGCAGTGGAAGCCCCCGTGTGTGTTTTTGCAACCATGTTGACAACCACCATTTCTTTGTTGACATTCGTCAATATCTAAATAAACAATGCACTCAGTCATTTCTAGATAATTAAAATTTGAGCAATGATAAAGAAAATCTGTGTTTAATTCTTGTTTATGCTCTAAAATATGAAAAAAATTATAATAGTTTTTGTCTTTTGTTCTGTTTTTTTTTTATTGTTTTTGTTTTTTTTTTTGTTAGAATTATTCTGTTAAAAGAACTCTTACATTTAAAAAAGAAATACTGAGACAATAAACAGAAAATCAGCAAAATAACAACAATTAGCAAATGATTCTGTGATTTTACCCTTTTCAACATTAATCGACTCCATTGCTGCTAATATACACACTACATTATACTGACAATTCATTCAGCCTGATAACAGTTATTCATCAATCGTATCAACATAAAAATGTTTATTATTTTTTGACAAAGTTATTGCTTCTTGCTAAAGCATTTGGCTTTTTGACACTTCAACAGCAGTCAATCAGCAACAGGTGTCACAGAAATTTTATCATGAAAGAAAGAACTTAAGACAGGATCTAAAAATGCTTAGTCATTACAGTTTAATAAAAATAGGTGGTAACAAAATCTTCTGTTGATATGAAAGGGAATACATGTAATATGTTGTTGGAGTTCAGGGGAGACAACTACAGAATTTAAAAATGCTTAGTCATAAAAGTTTAATAAAAACTGGGGGTAACAAAATCTTCTGTTGATATGAAATGGAATACATGTAATATGTTGTTGGAGTTCAGGAGAGACAACTACAGAATTTAAAAATGCTTACTTTTAAAATTTTAATAAAAACATGGGATAACAAAATCTAATGTTCATATGAAATGTATGTAATACATGTGACTTCTAGCTGGAGTTCAGGGGAGACAACTACATCTCACAACAGGCAAAGAAACCTCATGATAATTGTGTCAGTCAATCATTTTAACCAATATAACAGAGGAATTTAAGAAGATGTTAATATTTAACAACATTAAAATTTAAGTTTTTATCTTTTATAAATGAAATGAAGATATTTTCATTCAGATTTCTGATTGTTTCATAATACCATATAAAAGAAAATCCCTGTAGATTAAATTTCTTATCTTTTACAATTAACTGTATTATTCATCTGGGTTATTCCATGAATAGAATTTTACCTAAACATCTTTTGCCATCACCAGCAAGCTGAAATCCGTCACGACATTTACAGTAGAATGATCCGACCGAGTTACAGCATTCCTGTTCACATCCACCATTTGACTGCATCACACATTCGTTGATATCTGACATGAAAACAAATATCATTTATTTGTTCATACAGTTTTGAGTAGTTGTAAAATGTATTAAAATTATATGGGATCTATTGGGTGGTGGTATGATATGGGATGTATTGGGTGGTGGTATGATATGGGATCTATTGGGTGGTGGTATGATATGGGATGTATTGGGTGGTGGTAGGATATGGGATCTATTGGGTGGTGGTACGATATGGGATCTATTGGGTGGTAGTATAATATGGGATCTATTGGGTGGTGGTATGATATGGGATGTATTGGGTGGTGGTATGATATGGGATCTATTGGGTGGTGGTATGATATGGGATCTATTGGGTGGTAGTATAATATGGGATCTATTGGGTGGTGGTATGATATGGGATGTATTGGGTGGTGGTATGGTATGGGATGTTTATATATTTTGGTAGTGTTATGATATGGGATCTATTAGGTGGTGGTATGATATGGGATCTATTGGGTGATGGTATGATATGGGATGTATGGGGTGGTGGTATGGTATGGGATCTATTGGGCAGTGGTATGATATGGGATCTATTGGCTGGTGGTATGATATGAGATGTATAGTGCAATGCTCTCCTACATTGGGCCTACCATTTTAGTGAAAATTTAAACCAACTTTCTTAAGGTTTTATCGAAATTAAATAACTTTGAGAAAAACTTAACTGAACATGACCAAACAGGAACTAGAACAGCATATTATAATTATACAACTACACACCAAATCGAGTTCTATTGAGCCCAGACCATGGAATGTAGTACTATAAAGATACAATGTAACTTAAATTACAATTTTGTTAAGGAATTCTGAAAGGATTTGAAAAAGTACCAGAATTACCAAACATGGACTTACAAAGTGTGTTAATAACGATGGAATAGAAGGTGACAAATCACTGTAAAATTCGATCAGCAAAAACAAATAATTAATCTTCGAGAAATAATGAATATTGACTTAAAAAACTAAAGTCAAGATCTTTTGATTAATTCAGCTATTTGCAGTATCGATGTTAATCCTTTAATCGAAGGAGTTGTGCTATCGTTAAAATCTCCTAGCAAATCCAATCCTGTTTGATTTGATTTTCATCCCAAAACATCTTGAAGCTGAGGAATATTGTTGAACTTTTTAATAAGCGATCCAAATGCACCAATTTTCACAATTAACATTGAAAAATTAAAAGAGTGAAATTTGCCTTCAACTCTCGACGATTTGAACGTAATATCAATGAGGAAATGGTATGTTATCTTGGTAAACCCTCCATCACAGTGCCAATTGGGGCAACTTGTGTGATAGACACCGAATATTAATGTGCTGCCGTATTAATAAACTTTGAGGCTTTGCTGTTCCTAATAAGGGGTTGGCATCACTGAAAAGCCAACAAATTCCACAAGAGCAGAGCTGTAGCACTGAGAACTAGGAAGAAACCAGCGCTCCTAATTTCCTGTTTAAAAGTCCTAATTATCAAAATGTGTCAGTTTCAAATGTGCGTATGATTCATTTAAAATCCCCAACTAAGGTAGATTTTTTGTACAAAAGTCAGAGGAAGTTTAAAAGCCATGAATTTCATTTATAAATCAATATTGTGTTTTGTCTCATTTACCCAAAGCCAAAAAAAAGCATTAGAGGAAAAAAAAAATTAAAAAAAACTGTTCAAATGACAGAAAATTGATCCATGAGCTGGATGAAGAAATCCGGAAAATGTACTTCACTGTAGCTCCGCATGTAAAGGAGAATGATGGATGCAAACTTCAAAGTTAATTTCATCTCTGTTACTAAAGAGCTCAGAATTGCTCAGATTTGGAACTAGCCAGCTGATCTCTTAAACATAATGATGAAGTGAGCAAGTACATAATTGTACACTCAATAAAATAGCCTGTCCCAATTAAAATGACAGACCACAGTATATATACTGCACTGATTCATGCATTTATATCACTCCATTTATCACCATTTTTACTGTACCGTATTTAACAAAAAGTAAACCCAGGGTTCCAATTAATAAACACATACCAGGAAACCTCTATTTCAAAGGTAAGGGGGTGGGCTTATTACACGACAAGACAAAGGAGTAACAATCGGTGGGGTTTCTACTGATATGGGTGGGCTCATCATCAGACATGAGCATATTACTGGATTAATATGGTATACTCAAAATCAAATTTTTGTGAAGTCTTGAAATCTTTAATTACAAGTTCACAAGTTTGGAAGATTTAAATATATGTATTACCAGTATGTGTTTTTGTATTTGAATTTTTTCAAGAGGAGAAAAAATATTAACAAGTTTTTAAAGACATTACTAAAACCTGAATTTTCCCTCAAACTCTTTATCTCTTACAAAAGACAAAAAAACAAACCTCCACTTGTTTCGGAATCTCAAGTATCAAATACAAGTGTTTCTGTGAGCATCTACATCAGTTAAGTTTAATTTTTGTGAAGATACATTCTATAAAAATTAAGAACTTGATGCAATGAAAGCTTTTAATGTCATGTCTTATTTATGAACAAGACATATCTAATCACAACACAAAACTGTATCATTATTGGTAATTAAAATAAAAAGTGTATAAGAAGCAAATCCAATATTTATTGTTTTACACCAAAATTGAATTATATATTAAGCTTACTATGGATTTGTAGTTAAGGCTAGAATGTATATGGTAAACCTTTATGCTACCAAAGCCATTACCTTTAACGTTTAGTGTTTGTGTTCAAATTGTGCAGATTTAGGATTCAATTTAGTAAGGAGAAGTTTAGGGGGAAAAAAATTGTTTACTTTTTCTCTCCAAAATCTAGTGTAAATACCAGCTTGGAAATTTAAGAGAATTCTTTCCAATTAAGATACGAGAAATTACTGTTCTTTTGGTACATTTTTCTGCATTTTTTCATGAATTAAAATGAAAGTGTTGTAACTGCAGAAATTGCTATTTAAATGCTGCTAGGAGACAGACAGCATGGAATCTCTATGTACACAAACTATGGAGTATGTCTAAGTATCAAATCCATTAAAAATATTTCTAGACTGATATTGTGGAAGAAGGGAACTGGTTCAATAAACAGCTGGATGACTAAGTTGAGTGGTTGATAACAAGGACCTACCATGCACAATGTCTATCTTATATACCTGACAATAAGCACATGCCTGGTCATTTTAATTAGTTCATACATGTAAAGAAATGCTATTTCATTGTCTTAAGAAGTAATGAGTTATCTCCCCTGATCAAGGTTCTAATCCTGAATTGCCTGCTGAATATGTTCTGTTCCTGTAAGCATTGGATTTTTAATAGAGACTTTCATCAACAAAATAGATTTTAAAATTTAATTACACAAAAACAATTTTATTCTAAAATCACTTTTAAAATATCTAAATATTTACTTAAAAAGAAGAGTCACAAAGGTTAGATTTTATTTTTTAGTGGTTTACATCATACAGAGGAAGGTTCAAATATCTTGAGTCAGCAAATCATCAGTAATAAAAGCCACAAACAACCTTTTTTTCAGCTTTTGATATATCCATCTGTACATCCCAGCATGACAATCAAACTATCTTTTTACATGGCTTGATACAGAGAAATAATCAGAATGACATCATAATTCAGAGTCAGAATTTGTATAATTATGTCACTGTTTGATCATCTAAGTCTGTAGGGGTATCAGAATGGACCTTGATACTAGAGGTTTACAATATTATGATATGTCTTGGCATGTTAGAGGGTACGTATTGATGTTGGGTCCCCGTAGGTACATCTACCGGTATTTGAAGCTAGGCTGAGGTGTGGGATGAAATATTTGTCCTCCATATTGGTAATCTACAGGTTTGTTTGAGGACCTACAGGAGGGAGGAATGGGCCAGGGTGTGACATTAAAGTATTTCATAGCTAATATATATCTACTTTATATACCTGTAAATATTTACGAGAATGTTACCTGATAGAAGTACAAGTGGTATACTTATGTACAGAGTATACCTTTAGATATACCTGGTTGACAGGTGAGACATCTCGTTAAGTCTTGTAACAAGTGTAACATGGTTGTAACATGTCCGACTGTGTGGCATGGATTACAAAAAATTATACACATCAGCTCAACTGACATTTTTATTTCTCACTCTTGGAGCTACAGAATTTCTCGGTGGTATAACACACACAGGACAACAATTCATTGCTTACACTGCTAAAGTGTGATAAACACCAGCACATTTCTTATAAACTACATCATGTATACAATTATCACTACTATGAATATTGTTTTCTTAATTATCTTCAATAGCCTTTCATGCTTGCATGTTCATTTGATTGTTTTCTGGGTTTATCAAACTCTTCACAATAATGACTATGGTAAACCATGGTCATTTATGGTTAATAAACCACATCCAACCAGTAGTTCAACCATGGTAAACAAGTGTCTCTTTTCGAAGGGACAGTCAGAGTAATATTGAGGTGGGTAGTCAGAGTAATAGTGAGGTGGGTGTCTCCTTATAAACTGGTGGCTACTTAACTGAACAACATGTCCAAGGCACACCACATGCTATCCAGAACAAAGTTTTTTTTTTTCTATATTTTCTTCAGGTTGATAATGTTTATAGAATGGAAGGCCATTCAACACAACTAGTAGAAGATTAGAGTGTGATGTTTTGAAGACTATACAGTCCCTCCATCAGATAAATGGCCAGTGTGGAGTGTACTAGCTCTGCTATATGTAGTGTACGTGATGGTAAGGAATCGACCATTTTTCCGGCTGTACTGTAATCCTATGTACACTTAATATCGAAAATAGTGTGACGAGATGGTAAACAGATTATAGACTGAAAAATATACAAGATGGTGACAATGTACTGTAGTCATGCAATGCAGCTACGCTTTGTTAAATTGTGAAATGTTTTTATAAGGACACAAGCATGACAGCTCACAGAACATGTACGCCCTGAGAGGCACAAGCTATGTAGAAACTGAACAAGTACAATTTTTATCTTAACTCGAGGTAGCAAATGACTAGG